CGCCTCCAAGAGTACAGCTTTTCTGTTACCTATAAGAGCGGACGATGTCACACAGATGCCGACTGCTTATCCCGCCTTCCTTCAGTACACACCAATGCTGACGACAATGACATTGATGACTATTTAGTTTCTGTCTCGTCCGACTTCCCAGATACCAGCAGCTTCAAACGTGAGCAGCAGCGCGACCCTACTCTGAAACCTTTGCTCGAAGCTGCACATAACTCCGTCGACAAGCACTTTAAAGTTTCAAATGGCTTGCTGTATAAAAGAAACTATTCAGCCGATGGCCTCCCGTTGCTTCTAGTGGTGCCGGAAAGCCTGCGCCAGGTCGTCCTTCGTTCTGCGCACGATGACATAACATCCGGTCATCTCGGTTTCACGCGTACGCTGCATCGACTACGTGAGAGGTTCTACTGGCCAAAAATGTGGAAGACCACAAAACAGTACGTCACCAGCTGCGCTATATGTCAGCGTTACAAGCCATCCACCACTGCCCCGGCGGGTTATTTGCAGCCCATCCCTCCACCGACATCCCCTTTTGAAAAAGTCGGCATTGACTTGCTCGGACCCCTTCCTAAGACTCCATCGGGCCACCGATATGTTATAGTGTGCGTGGATTATTTAACGCGTTATACGGAAACGGACGCACTGACATCGGCCACAGCAGCCGCTGTTTCTTCTTTTCTGTTACAACGGGTCATAATGCGTCACGGTGCTCCACGGGTTGTCATCAGTGACCGTGGACGACAATTTATGGCCGATGTGGTTGAAGAAATTTTGCACCTCTGTGGCTCCTCTTATCGCCACTCCACCCCTTACCATCCGCAAACGAACGGTCTCACTGAGAGAACAAATCGAACTCTCACGAATATGTTATCGATGTACGTTCATGCTGACCACAGGAACTGGTGGGACGCCGTCTTACCGTTTGTTACTTACGCGTACAACACCGCCAAGCATGAAGTTACTGGACATTCACCCTTCTTTCTGCTTTACGCACGAAATCCACAGAGTTTTCTGGACACTCTATTACCTTTCTCGCATCAGGAAGATCTGTCCATCGCTCAGACGTTGTGTCGCGCTGAAGAAGCACGTCAACTAGCGCGCCTTCGAACATTGTCTTCGCAAGAACACAGCAAGAGTCACTACGATGCCAAGCATATCCCCGTAGAGTTTTCTCCTGGTGACTACGTGTGGCTGTGGACTCCTGTTCGTAGAAAAGGATTGTACCGGAAGTTTCTAGCAAACTATTCCGGCCCATTCGTGATAGTCACTCGTCTCAGTGACGTGAATTACGTTGTCGCCCGAGTCACAGCCAATAACCGGCGTTCGCGCACTACGCAAGTTGTTCACGTAGCCCGCCTCAAACAGTACCATCATAGGCCTATTTAACTCGCTCGGCGAGCTTCGTCTGCCGCCGGGGGAAATGAAACGAAGATGCGCGAGCCTACGGGGCGCGGAAGAAGAAGAAGAGTAGTGGAGCGGCGCCTGGACTGTGTGGTTGGGTGGAAGCGTTCTTGGCCTGTCTCAGAAGTACGCTGCTATTTCACAACGCCTTTTCACCTCATCTGTAAATAAACACAGTCACTCGCAACAATATATATATATATTTGCACAGGCTGTAGAAGCTCCAACATGCTGCGGGGGCAAGAGCCGCGCGCTGATCGTTGCCGCAATAGTGCCGCAACCATAACCATACCCCCCCCCCCCCCTTCCTGTTCGCGAGATAAGCGCGCGCAGGCGACCTTGGCTAGAAAAGCGATGTTCGCTTCAGATAAAGAGGGGCTAGCGCCTCCCTCCCCAAATATATGTATGTCCGCCCGCGCTTATCTCGTGAACGAACAAGGGGAGGGGGGCTTATGATTGCCGTACAATCGCGGTAACGATCAGTGCGCGGCTCTTGCCCCCACAGCAAGTGGAAGCTTCTACAGCCTGCGCTATCAACATGAAAAAAAAAAAACGATGCTAAAAGTGTACCGGAGCAGCCGTCCACATACAGATGCGCTCTACACACAAACTGCCACCAGCGGCGACACGCGGCGTATAGCCCTTACTACCAGCATGTGCTGTCCACAGGAGGTGCTTCTCGACAACACCATCACTACGCACGAACCTTGTGGTCATGCACAGTGGCCGTGCAGCAGGAAACTTGGTTAGTTAGCAAGCGCATGTTTACTACAATTAATATTGCTCCTAAGAATGCTAGCCTTGTATTCAAATATGTTGCTATCGCATTCATTGCTTCGACCACTTGGCGTAACTGTGACTTTTTTTCAACGTCACGTGAGGACATTTCGTGACTGAGAATGTCCAAAAATGTCATTTTGTCCCTTTTTTACTGCACTACCAGTAGCAATGGGGCCAAAAGCCGTGCCTAAGAAGTTTTTCTTGAAGTTGAGGGGCAAGAGGAAGGAATGATGAGATCGATGCTCAAGACACACTGGAAACACACAAGAACATGACTATATAACTAAATCCAATGAAACAACGTACTATACCGCATAATTGCGCGGAGTTCATCAATGTATTTACAAGACTCTCGGCATTCGGCGATCGCACATTCATGTGCCTTGCCTTAGCTCACAGCCGGAATTTGATAAATGGGCAGAAATTCAGGCATAACATTCGTGATTGTTTTTATCCACCCGGCTGAAAATAAGTTGTGCCAAAATTTTGTTTTTTGCACATTTTCTGTAATGACTCTCCATACCACTTGTTTAGTGTTGTTTTGTGCCAGAAATTTGGTGAAAAGATTACAGCTTGGTGCACTCATGGGGGGGGGGGATGGAAGAGGTGTTGTCCCACTTTTTCAGACACATAAGGAGTAAATTGGACACATATGTCCCACTTTTTTCTCGTAAACTAACCGTAGTAATCATTGTGAGTTGCATTACTAAACAGAACACATGAAAAGGAACAAAATAGGCACACACAAACTCGCCTAACAGTCAACTCTTTTTGAAAATTGCTGTAATTTGGTGGAAATTGCATCATACTATCTCTAAGCTCGTTATTTCAATATTCCACGTGCATATTTTCTGCTATCATGTAAAAAATATCGACGAACCCATGAAGGGCTAACCTATATGTACCACAAATGCTGTCATTGCAAGTGCAACCAATTAATAACATACAAAGTGAAGTAATACTGAATCCCTAAGTTGTCATTGGCACAGCATAAAAGAACACTTGACAACAATCATCTGCCAAGCACCCAATCGATGGTGTACTCTTAAAAAAAAAATACTGGCTCTGCCAGTATTTTTTTCAAAAACAATGTGTGTTGCTATGTCTGCTGTTGGTATCTTTAAATTAGGTGATAAGCCATGGTCAGCATTACAGAGAACAATGTGTGTTGCTATCTCTAAATGAAGTGATATGCCATGGTCAGCGACATAGCAAACAATGTGTGGTGCTATGTCTGCTGTTGGTATCTTTAAATTAGGCGATATGCCATGGTCAGCATTACAGAGAACAATGTGTGTTGCTATGTCTACTGTTGGTATCTCTAAATGAAGTGATACGCCATGTTCAGCGACATAGCAAACGACGTGTGTTGTACAAGTCATTTTTGATTGTGGCTTTACTCCCACTAGTAGCAATGGCTTTCTCGAAGAAAGCACAGTTTCTTTTATAAAATTTCAACGAATTTGTCGGCACTCTTTGGTGACACTTTGCCCTTGGGCCACAAAACATGACCACGCTATCAGCAGTTTCTTCAGTTTCCTGGCCACATAGCCATTTCTTAATTTGCTGGAACTACCACCCACCACTCCAGTTTGTTTGTGAAGTCTAGATCTGGTAGAGGGCCGATACAGAACACAAGTAGGTAGAACTGACGAAAACGTCGAAGTTATACTCGGAAGATGCAAATGTTCTGACAGAGTTGATTTCCCATATTTTTTATGGATAGTAAGCGTGCGAGCCGTGATGGTCGCCAAGGTGCACGCAGTGTGCATGTGGTATTGCCCTTCTCTTTTTCATCCCACTCTCCTCCTTGCACAAGCACGCTGATGCTTTACCCCAGCTGGGAGCACTGTTCGCTGCTGGACACTGTAGGGGGTTGGGGAACTTAGCAGGTTGAGGGACGCGGGCCGGCATTGTTGGTTTGCCAGTTTTGGGCGTATGTGATGTCACCTCTAGTTCGCGGCGCAGCTGCTAGACACAGCAGTTTGTGAAAAACACATTTAGTATTCCAGTGCTTTCCTGTTGTTTCTGCCTGAAAGAAAGGTTGTGTGTATCGATTTCAAGACCCAATCTTTCAAACTGGCTAAAAATCTTATTGAGTATCCCTTTAAATTTGAAGGCTAATTCAGCTGGGTGCACTGTGGTAATGAGCAGTGGTTGCATTCTTCCCTCATCAATGCGACAAAGGTGCCTCATGACGTTCTTAGAAGGGGGTACTAAAGGACCTGGGGACTTTTTTACATTTCTTTAGTTTTTTTTCTTGGCTCTATAAAATTGCAACATACCAGAATCGCTTACGCACATTGCAAATACCACAGATGACGAATATAACCAATCAGTTTGGCTGTGATGAACAACACACTCTACTCGAAATTGGATCACAGCTTCAAAGTTCTTTGATAAGACAATGATCAACTTGTCATACTTGTGAAAGTGTCCTATTTGTCTTTTCCATTTATTTTTTATGTATGTGAGCAGTAGTGTACTTATAACGTAAATTCAATACGAAGAAAGCCAAGCACGTATACAACTCTGAAGCAAGAACTCAAAATGGTAGAAACAAATGTTTGCACATTAGCTAGCCTTAAAATGAAAATGTTAATTCAGTGAGTATGGCACATGCACATGTGCTACAGAAGCAGCTGTAAATATGCAACAAAGTTGCACATACACCTTTGCTACTGGAAAAGCATAAATCACCATGGCGCAATGAAATGGCCATGGTATGAATTGCAGGCTAAGCAGGGCTTGTTTTACACATAGCTTAGATGAATCGGTAAAGTGAATTCATAATCTATCAGAAAAAGTGCCAATTTTCATATCAAACACATTGAAGAGCATGTTTTATTAATATACAACATATATGCACAACATATTAAGGCCACTAGTCCATCAATGCCGTGACTCGTTGCACAAGCTCGGATATCATATCACCCCTGCAAAATAGAAATACATAATATGCTCATATCTGAAACTGTCACAGTAGAGAATGCTCAGTTTATAAAACACAAATTCAAAAACTATAAAATGCTGTCAGGTAATGTTATCTTCCTATCAATGGGAGTCCTAAAATCCATAGAGAGCAGATCCATATGTGCTGCACTATGTGACACAAAATCAAGGAACCAAGGGTTCTTTCTGTTACTGTCATGTAAAGCCAAAACATTAAAAAATCAGGTTAATTGTTCAAATAATATAAACATTCTGTAGTGACAAACATGGGCATAAGAAGATGGTTGTTGCTGCTTAGTGGTTTCTTGTAGCGTTGGTGCGAGTGGGCGCACATTCTTCGGAATACATACCTTTCTTTTTAAGGTTGTGGATTTAGAAGCTTTAATGTAATTTTCATGTTCATGTTCTGCTTATAGTTCACAAATAAGTGGTGTGCATATATTGACGTGTGTTAGAATTCGATAATTACAAACAAATATTACAGTAAGCAGCACTGGAGTTGTATATTGATGGTGAATTACTTTTCTACATTTTTGTCAATTAAACACATTTATGCTTTTAAATGACCCTGTCAAGACTGAATTTTTAAAAAATTGACTGTAAATGCCTGAAGCGGTGTCATCGGTCAGTTCAAAATGCTGCGAGCAAAACCGAGCACTTACTCCTCTTTGAGGGCCTTGGCAATTTGCTCTACTTGGTTGGGCGTGAGGTTCTCCTGCAGTTGGCTGGCACTTCTGCTGGCCTCCTGATCTTTATGGCTCTGCTGTTGGTATCTTAGCTTGGCCTGAGCTTGCTCCAGTGATTCTTTAAGCACTTTGAGGTCCTCTTCAGTGCTCTTCAGCTCCCCTGTCATTGCTTGTTCAGCCGCAGAAAGCACGGGTACCTGGCGCTGTAGCTGATGCAACACGTCTTCAACCCTGCGCCATGATCAAGCCCATCAGGTGAGAAATTAGCATCATAAATTATTGATCAGAAGATTCATTCACGCAATGCTTTCAGTGCCTCTTATATGACAGTTTATTGCATCCATGGTAGAGGAAAAGCACTAAAACACTCAGCAGCTCTGACAGCTCCAGAAGCTCAATCGATTGGGAAGCAACCAGTGAAAGGAGTTTGACCATGTAACCCGCCCATTACAACTAGAGGATCGTGAAGGTGGGAGAAACTTTAATGCACTACTGTCGTGTACACATCTGTCCTACAAGCAAAACACCAGTGACAGTGGAGTTGAGAACCTTTCACAAGTGGTCTTGCACACAGCAATGCAGTTTATGTACCTATGTAACTGTGTTTTTGTAAAGGTGCTCACTTGGAGAAGCAGTAAAACATGTTTTTGGAGCTGCAGCAGCACCCGTGCGCATTCAAGCCATTCCTCAGCATAGGTACCACGAAGTTATGAAATCGTCCTCTATTAGGTATGCCCCTCTTGCATGCTTGGCAGTATAACGCCAGTTTGCTCCTTATATACTTGGCTGTTGGCGCTTTACAAAAACACCCCATGAAATCATGCCCTCCTCGACATTTCTGTGAATAGTACATTTAAAATGACATTTAAAATGACATTTAAAATGAGGAATGATCTTGCAGAGAAAATAATCTTGAGTCAAAAATAAAGCGTGAAATCGTTTATAAGAGCTATTTACAGAACACTATGTACTGTCTGTATCACACTATGGGGAAATCTCCGAGCGCATGGCGTCACGATCCGGCCAGTGCTGCAGTCGTGTGCTGGCAGTAGCTCATGCGTGCGGAGGCACTTTAGGAGCGTGGCGTTGACTCACATTGTCTGCTAAACAACAACGCTCTGGCCACATCGTCGAGCACCCTGCTGATTTCATCGATGCTGCGGGAACTAGGCCAATATTCTATACTTAACGTCAGGGCCATACCCAGGAATATTTTTCGGGGGTGTTTTCGTGTTGAACAAGCAACTACAGAAACTGGTGGTCGATGTGAAGCCATGTATACTTTAGTATCATCCAAAAATTTTTTGGGATGTCAAACTCCTCAACTCCCCTCTAGTTACGGCCCTGCTTAGTCTTGTGTGATGCACCTCTCAGCCTACATTGGTGATAATGGTTCTAGAAACAGTATTGCACAGCATATGTTGTTTTTAATAAATTATTGATTTATGAATAGGGGAAAAAAAAGGAGCTAGGAAAAATAAAAACCATTTTCTTTTTCTTTGCTCCATAAAAACTTCAACAATAGAAACATACAAACATGCCTACCTTTTGACAAGTTTCTGCTGTGTGGAATAGAGGGCTTCATATCTGGCTTTTAGTTCTCTGTCACGTTGCTGAAGCAATGCAAGTTCTTCAAGCAGACCACTCAGCTTTTCCAGCTGCAGATCCCTTTGGTCATGAGCAGCCTGGACTCTGTCGCAAAAGGAACATTTCAATAAGGTTTACCAATTTTTTTAATGTTTGTGCACAGTGCTACAGCACATGACTATATCCGTGAGGCGACAACAGGCCATGCTGCTCACCAAGCTCGCCCTCATGGTTGTTGATACACTCAAGAGCTGCCATGGTGTCCATCCAGAGCATGGCACAGAAATGTTTTTTGCATACTATCTCTGGTGTAATAAGACTGCAAGGCCAGGATTAATCTCTCGACCTGATGCTCACCAACAAAACAGCTACAGCCTCTATGCCATTCCTACAAGCAGTCAAGCAATCAAATGCTGAACCAGACATTTCTATCTCAATGCACCAAGACACCTAAGCTGAATGAGAATTTACCAAAAAGCACTAAACTGGTAATTAGGCAAACATAGACCCATAGAAAGTCTTAATCACAAGTTCACATTTTTTTTGCTTATTTCTGCACAGTCCGAATGACCAACAAAGCCAGGAATCGGCACTTGCTAAGGAATCCTGCTGTGGCACCATTAGCATATCTTGTCTGACCCACAGCACCCCTTGTAGCAGTGTTCTCACCTTCGTGCAATGAGTAACTGGCAAGCCTCAAGCTTCTGGAACCATTGCTCACGGATGCGCTGCGTGGCAGTCAGTAGAAGTTCGAGGCTCTGTTGAGGTGTGCAATCTTCTGCTGCCTGCGAAAGAGTCGGGAGGCTACGACCTTCCAGCAGCTGTTTTACATGAGCCACCAGATTGTTGCTGCTGCCAGTGCCTTGGCTCAGCAGAGGTGTGTCCTGCTGGCTTTGGGAAAGCAGTGCTGGCAAGTAAGTCTGGTAACCCTGCCTGCAGTTTTACACAGTAAAGAAACGTTACATAAGCTTGTACATTGTTTAAAATGCAACAAAACTGCGCATCCAGGCACACAGCTGCCTGAACACTAAGAATTGCTTGAAATCAAAAGCTTGCATGAAAATAAGACGTATTCTCAAACGAGAGCATGCAGACAAGCGCATACTCACACTGCTTTATTTTCGCGCAACTTTTTTGTTTCAGGCATGTCGAACACACTAGGCCAAGAACAAGTTTTACTTAAAGAAATGTCAAACAACTTTTATTTTGCCATGCTGCAGAAACTTTAGCATGACTTTCTCATAACTAAAAGTTCTTAACGTTAAAAAAAAAAACAGTGTCAGTTGCTTCCCAATCTTTCCCAGCAGCGTCACGACGCGATTCACAGTCATGAATAGCGAGGCCATGGTGAAAACCGCTGAAATAACGCCCACAACCGCATTCGTAAACATACCGAACAGTTGCACTAACACGTTAACACCAGCAGTAGTCAGTCCGCCGTCAAAGTGTATCCGACAACACCGAGATGGAGGCATGCTATCGTGGAGCGGTGACTTATGCCTTATTCTGTGCCATTTTTATCATCCAAATCTTGCGGCTGGCTGATTCGGTTGATAATGCAGGCGAACAGCTGCTCTGATTGGGTACTACACTGGCCAGGAGTGAATAAAATGATTAGCATTAAAATCAGAAAAGGCATCGCTCCGCGATGCCTTTTCATGCTGCAGCTGCGTGAAGAAAACTATGAACTGAGCCACTGAGCTTCAGCTTCAGATCGTCTGCGGCTCAAAAACAAGCCAGTGATAAAAGCAGGGTCATCCTCCATGAGCAGGGCAGTCTCATTGCCATCGCTATCGAGCAATGACGGCGCCCATGCTTGCTGAACAACGGCGGTTTCTGGTGGTGCCAACGCGTGTTTTAGACTTCGTCGACATATTTTCAGGTTCTCAAAATGCATCGAAGTGTTAAAGATTGGGTGTCCTGTATAGCAATAAGACCACGCTCAAGCACTCAACCAAGAACAGCATGCATGATACAAAATTTTCATTCGCAGCCGAGTAATCAACTATGATGAAAACTCGCTGAGCTTATGTAAGACCACGCACTGGCAGTAAAGGCCAAAGCTCGAATCATAAAGCAATAAATGTTTAAATTTACGGTGAGGCCGCAAACGCGATATCAACTGTGCTACCATCTGTTGCACAAAAAACTGGATCACCTCCATTATAATTTTTAAACTGACCTTCTTTTGCTGAAACCAACAGTTATTTGACAGCAATAGTAAATGCCTTGTGAAGCTATTACTTTTCCAAAACAAGCCCTAAATGCTAGCCATATGAGACGCCGCAGACACCACACAAGAAAAACGAACTCGGAACCTGCAAGCCCAACAGGCTATAAAAATATGCGATATGCATTGTTTGCTAACAAAAATCTGCCTTGAGCTAAGCTAGGGGCAATGGCTACTCACATAAGCATCATGGTGACTATCTTCCAGGAAGCAGTGAGAACAATCAGCAGTGGTCCTGGGTGTTCTGGTAGCACAACTACACCAACAGGAGGTGCAGGCTTGCTGCTGGCCAAGGCACGAGTGCATAAGAGGCTCTCTACAATGGACATTTCAGTATGCAGCTGGGACATCATCTGCATGCCCGTGTCTGCAAAGAATAAACCCTCAGGGATGGCATGGTTTGCTGGTTGCCTGTTCAGGCAAACATATATTTGCTGCAGACAACCAATATATGGCACCTATGCCAAAGCAAAATGAAAAATGGGCAAGTAAGCTATTCTCAGAAATGTACCAACAAAGGAGAAACACAGAGATGACGGGACAGGCTCACAATTTTATTCCAAAAATGGAAGCTTAAGATATGCAGTCGAAACCATTGTATAAGAGATGCTGATGTGGGAGACAACTGGGTGTAAGAGACAACAGTGCGCCAACATCAAAATAGGGGTTGATAGGAAACTGCAACCCAGGTACCCTGCTTATAAGAAACACCCCATACAAAAGACGGCTGCTCCTCCCCGCACATGTCTCTCATAAAAGTGTTCAACTGTACATACTATTCCCAGAGCACATCCTAGTGCAAAGTCAGCACCATACATTGGCCCAATAAAGAGGGGGGGCGTGGCAACAAACCTTCGCCTGCTTGGAAGGCTAAACCTGGACTAGCCTATGTACAAAATAGTTAAATTGCTAAAGTTTTTCATGCCGAATCCGCTTATGATTACGAAGCACACCCTGGTGAGAGGCTATGGAGTAATTTGGGCCACGCATTGCAGTTTCCTTCGATCGAAATGCAGCTACTATGGCCGGGAATCAAGCCCACATGCTTCGCAAAACCTTACATACTAAGCTTGCATACTATGCTTACTCTGCCATAATTGTACAAAAAAATAAAGTTCTCACCGTCTTCGGCAAATGCTTGCAGATGGTCAATAAAGGGCACAACCACAGCATGCACACCAGCATTGTGGACACAGATATATCGTTGATGGTTGGTGGGGTCTATATGTAAAAAAAAAAAGGGCGGGGGACCAAGATGTCGTTAATATAAAACTAGCCAAAGCAAGCATGAGACAACAAGCATCATGAATGGTGCCATTAACATGGACAGTTTTGTGTAATGCATGTATTTCAATTTATTAATTAAATGTGTTCATTGTGAACCACACTGAACATTAGTCAGAGGGTCTTCGTTCTACATTTCCACTACAAACAAACAAATAGGAGGAAATGATGTGATATAGTCATGACATCATCGTTATTTCAAGATGAATTCAACATAACATCATCACTGCTGCAAGATTCAGAATGTTTAAAAGGCCCCTAAACTATTTTTGATATTTTTCAAGCATTTGAAGTAAACTTGAGTGTCATGTTTGAAATACCTGCACAATCAACGACGCCACACATGGTACTGCTAGAAGCCATGGGGGTGCGACAAATTTCAAAAAACAATTCTTTCTCCTTTCCAGGCCTTTTCAGCTTGCACGGTGATGTGCTCAATGTTCACTTGTTGCCTCTGTGGTGTTATTGATAATAGATGCTTTAATTGGTCGAACAAGAATTGACGACTTTCAGTTAATTTGCAAGCAACTGCCTGCACTCTTTGGTGTTCTTTGTTGTGTTGCACATAAGCATCATTTGGTTTATCACCCAATTTATAGCGTCTTTCCAAATTATCATATCCTTTAGTGACAAACAGAAAGAATCAGAAAGGATCCCTGTTGTCACTTATATAAACAATATGCAATACACTTCTTCACTATGTAGACTTACCTTTGTGAAGACGAATCGGGCAAGAAAACATTTCTTCCTCAGAAGTGGACAATGAGAAGGCTAAATCGAGCCTGATTTTTTCAAACACGTACAATGAAACATCCTCACACTCTTCCCTGGTGCCATTAGAAAACTGAAAAAAAAAGCAAACACATGCAACAAGTAATTCAGTTTTGAGGAGCACTATTCACCAAGCTAATACTTGGCTAAGCATAGGAAGAGAATGAGCACAGTTTTAACAGAGTAACATAAACACTGGACTTGATTTAATAGTGAAGACAATAAATAAGATTATTGGTGCTTTTTGCACACCCACTGATATTCAAACAAAGCACTGATTGCCAAGCTGATGCCAATGAAAGCAGAGAAATCTATACTTAGGGTATAACAGCATTTTATGCCTTTGACACAAGCCTGTGCATGGCGTGTGTCAGTTCTACAATAACTGAGAGCACAACCTCAGCCCGTATTTTGTGGCAATGCTTTATGTTCAGTTATATGCTATTCTCATCGCTATCGGCCAGTTAATCCTATTGATAACACAGGACAACTATTGCTCTGATCACTGGCCAAGCTCTCTTCGTACCTGGCCTTACCACAAAGGCATCACTACAATATAATAGCCCCGCTCATTTCCTATAACCAGGATTGTGCGAATAGTGGATTTGGGGATCGGAGCAAATAGTAATACAGTTTGACGAACCGAATTCAAATAGTATATATCATAGGTTATAAAGAATAATGAGCATATTTTTCATGACCCACCTAACCTGCACATCGTTTTCTTTATTGAAACAAAGCATGTGCGCATGTCATTCTTTTACAGCGAAATCTGTTACGAGATCACAACAAGGGTCACATGAGCATAGTTGACCGTGATCGCCACTGGTGTCCGTAACCACTCTAGGGTGAAATAAGAAAACACCAATGACACAATAGGGGCCAAACCCGGGTCCCCTGCATGCCAGCCCGGCATTCTACTACTCAACCACGTCAGTGCTTTAAACTCCATTGCAAATTGGCCTCAGGCAAGTTTGATGTCCGTAAAGAAATCTCGTTAATATGAGTAATAAAGTGTTCTAGAACATCACACAAACAACTAGACGTAACACAACGCAAACTGTGTAACGAGTGGGTCGTCGAATGTTCCAACCCCCCTATTACTAAAACTTCAGGCACAATGCTTCATAGTCTTCAGCCACAGCATCAAAAAATTGCACAAAATTCCTAGCACGTATGTAGCGGACACCCCACTTCTCCGAACAATGACGAATGATGGCACAGTGAACGCCTCCCTACTACACAAAAATTATGATGGTTTATGATGTAGTGGGTACCCTGCAAGTGTGCTTGTAGCAGTTACCCAAAGAGAGTTTATAAAAGTCTCTTGAAGGCCGCTCTTGCAGCTTTCACTCTGACTGTGCTGCACGTTCCGCGCAAGCCTGACATTTTTTGGTTAAAAAAAAGTGGAAACAATGCTGAGCAGCAGAATCTGAATTTCGAAAGAATACAAGTGACAACCTGCAAAATGTGTTAGGTTTCAAAAGTTACTATACTCAGAGCATGAAATTCTCTCTATAACAAACTTTAAATTAAAAAAAAAAGGAATCAAAGTGACGGTAATGTGTTAGAAGTGTGGCAGCTTGGGTTAGTTGGTATGGCATGACGATAGTTATAGCGCGAGAACAAAACGACGACACAGAGACAAGAAAAACACGAAAGACACGAGCGCTCGTGTCTTTCTTGTCCTTCTTGTCTCTGTGTTGTCGTTTGGTAATGTGTTGTTCATTTAACCTTGAAGTGGGACTTCACAGCAATGCAAATTTCCTCTAGATATATGTTTTCACGGCCTAACACCAATCTAATGCAGTGAAACCACCTTTGCAAAAAGCTACATGCATTTTAATATACACTTAGGTAGGTGTGTTTATGGTTTAGCACCACTATACTGCAGTGAAACCACCTTTAGAAGTGGTTACATGCGGAGTCATCATCATAAGCCTGACTACGCCCACTGCAGGGCAAAGGCCTCTCCCATGATCCACCAATCAACCCGGTCTAGCTTTCTGCTGTTACGGTACACCTCCGAACTTTTTAATCTAATAGGCCCATCAAACTTTCCGTCTCCCCTTCGTGCGTTTGCCTTCCCTGGTAATCCAGTCAGTTCCCTTAATGAACGGTGGTTATCCTACTTAGGCGCTACGTGCCCGGCCCATGTCCATTTCTTCTTGAGTTCAACTATGATATCCTTAACCCTGGTTTGTTCTCCGACACACTCTGCAGACTAAATATACACCTATTCGTTCATTTCGAATAATTGAAAATTTTCAGAAGTTGATTCAAATCTATGAGAATACAAATACTGTAATATTTGTTTGAATACATTAAGCATTCGAATATTTCCACAAGCCTACTTTTAACCGATCTAGAAAACCTCAACAACAAAATGCCATTCCAATACCTTTCGATCCACTAAATGCAATTGCCAAACTAACTGCTGCACCGAGAATGCTCAGTTACGAGCCAATAGTTGCTTCACTGACTACAAAACAATTTTTATGCATTATTACAGAGAAAACTGTGACATCACTATGTAACTAGCAATGATGCCAATGACATGCTGCATGATTCATGACTTTCATTCTTGATGCTGTAGTGGCCACTAAGTGCTTGCCCATGATAGAGCATGATAATTTAAGCGATTTGAGCAAAAGCTTAATTCTATCCATCTCAATTATTTAGCTTTCTGCACTGTCGCCTTAAATTTCTTTGTCAACGACAAAGGGCAACAAATGCCACCTGGCTATGGGGAACTGTATGAGCAGCAGATGCATGGTGCTCATAAAATTAAAAATGATGTATTAAATCAATGCACATACTTTCATTTACAATGTCTTCATGTCATACAGGCATAACTCCAACTCGAACACTTACGCCAAAGCTGACATAACCTCTAGCGGCCAGATTCATGCCATGAACAGGTTATAATTTGCGGTTGCACATACTTGCTGTTATCCTGGAAGTTTTGATGTCCTGTAGCAATCTGTGGGCACTAAACACATTCCTTTAGCTTTTCATGACCACCTGCAGGAGGTAAACCTCGCTCAAAACTGAAATGCTTTAGCTTTCTATTTCTAAATTACCTTCCAGCGTTCCGATTTCTATTTTTTAAATATTGTACTGCTCTGATTTTAGACACTTCTATATTAACCAAATGAGCAATGTGATAAATACAAACATCACTCACATTCTGTGTCCCAAGAGCAAGGCAATGGTAAAGTGTGCCCCCAGTAGTGGCAACTGCCAACACTGGAACGGCACCTGGCAAACAAATAATCGAAAAGCCATCAACACCGTAGTTGTCCTCTGCTTGAGGCTGCATGCTCAGAGGACCAAACACGGGCCGCAGGTGTGACCTGGTTAAAGTGAGAAAGAGCGAAAGGATGTGCCCAAATTATTGAACTTGCAGAAGCTTCATCACTGCCCGCTGCCATTCCTTATAAAATATCAGTTCAACGCTACAGGACCACAAAAAGTAAAGGTCAAAATGCAATATTAAACCTAACCATAAGTAGCTGAAAAATGGCTGTCGTAGTAAACCTGCCAAATTAGTTAAGATTAGCTGCACAACAAAACACTTAAGTTGTTTAAAAAGCCAGTAATTTAGACTTACCGAACTTATGACAGATAAATAAAAGTCACTGTTTTGCCGAAAGGCGAACCAATGAATGCGATAGCAACAAATTGGAATGCTATACAAAGCAAGGCTAGCATCTGACTTATTTATAATTCGATCTAGCAATCAACAGTAGCCACTACAGTGAGCGTAAAGTGACTTATGCGCTGTTGATTGCATAAACACAAACAAAAGAGAGAACACAACAAGTACGAAGCGATGAGCCACAATACTTTACAAGATAAGGCATATGACCCATACTGGCCAATCAAAGTATGCAGTTCCAGCTAAAGCAATGCAGCCCCCACCCACTCTGGCTCCACCCTATAAGCCTTCTGCATGTTAAAGATACCCGGTGCACATTCTCTCCACTCAGGCCACAATTGTCAGCTTCCCTTGCACACGGAACATTGGACATGCAGAGAAATGTTCCATTTGGAATTCAGACGGAACCTCACACCAACGGCATAAATGCCCCTGGAGCGTTACTGTACTTTCTGTCGCAATAAAAGGTTGCTCGGAACAGTAACAGCACAAAGGGAGTAACTCAAGTCATGTGTTGTGCTAGTACCTATTGTCATCTTGCGGCGAAACATGGGTAAGGTAGATATCTCCGCTACCCCCGAGTACAAAGACCTGCCGAGCTTCTCCTTCAGCAGGAAAATCCCCAAAGTCAAAGCTGACAGCGGCATCTCCAACAGAGGCACTGAGTGTACCACTGAGGTTGTGATTAACACCAACTGGCAGCACCAGCTGAGCAGACTGTGGTTCCAATATGTCATAAAGCCTGGGAGAAAAAAAAAAAGGCAAATATTGTACTAATAAAGTTGCTGGATATAAAATCTGCAGCCACGTACAAGACATAATGTAGAACAACGGTAGCATATTACACTTCTGTCACTGAGTCAACAGACAAAACTTGGGACAGAACATGCTGCTCCGAATCCTGTATCTTCTCAAAAACAACTGTTTTCTTTTTTCTGTCAAATGATAGAGGTGAAAGTGTGATATGTCGGAGCGGTACAATATCTCCACTTTTCTAGAGAGGCACGACAACACATCCTTAAACCAGTTTCTCTCACTTTGATGTCTGTTTATGAGAAAGCGGTGTAAAAGAAATCAAGTAGCACATATAGACAAACTGCACTTAGCAACCACAAATGACAGGCATTGCCTCAGCCGTCTACTGTGCCAATACTGCAAGCAGCCAACTGAACAGCTCACTAAATTAAAATCAAGCGCACGCGTCGTATACGGTACAATTGACAAATCGTGACGAAAATAGCGTTCGACTTGCATGAAAATACATGAACACCGATGAAGAGACGAAAATGAGCGTTCCAAATGAAACCGAGCATATGAACTGATGCCACAGTACACGAGACGACGGATGCAACTGACCGCGCAGCACGACCACTTGAAACTTGCGCGTACCTCAGATTGTTATCACTCGTCAGAGCGAGGACATGGAGGCCGGACTCGCTGTCGGGATGCCAGGCGATGTCGACAAGTGAAACAGACTTGTGACACAGGAAGAAGTGTTCACCAAGCGTCCATGATCTGGGGTTCAGAAACAGAGAGGGGGGAAAAATGCATCTTATGTATTGAGAGCCATGGTACGGTGATATTAAATTGTGCTCGAACCATTGCACACAGAGAATTCCAATTTCATTTTCACGCACGCTTGACGTTGTTCCTGCAACATCACTCTACCGACTGGTGATCGAACGTACACACGGCATGTGATAGCACTCACTTGCATAACGCCTTCCTTTCATTCAGCAAAGTGGCTGGCGTTTTCGGTAGCGACACAACGGTTATGCCGCGCGGTCCAGAAAGCAGCAGGTGCTTGGCGCAGCTGACGAGAACGTTGTCAACATCGTACGCAGGTGGGTTAGACAGCACCAACTCCTGCAGGACGCCGGGTAAGCACACTTGTACACAGCGATCATAAATTGGTAGCAACCACAGTTAGTATGCTATCAAAGGCACGTATTACTACAGATGCCGCTATAATTTAAACAGCGCACATTCTGCTTAAAACGAACAGAGAAATAAAGCAACGCACTATACAGTTATCCGGTTCACCCGCGCTTGAAAACGTTTTCGCGCTAACAGCAAACAGCCGTAGCTGGTTCTGGCTCCAAGCGACAATGTAATCATCGTAAGCAGCTATAAGCATTCTGGTGTGAATGGACGAACAGTATTTGTCGCCATGTAGCAATAACTTGTGCAGAAACGAACTGCTCTCATCGGCGCTTGCCGACGCTGCCGCCATTTTGAAAAGACGAACGCGCAGCCTCGACACCAGGTGCCTTGCAAAAACAACAACGCATTCGTAACATTTCCCACACTCCGTCAATATTATTTTAAACGTGCTAAGAAGTACTAAATTTTATGGAAATTGCTTTTTTTGCTTTGCAGGATTTTTTTTCGAGTGAAAACATAGACGTAACACAAGCGCCAGATGAGGCAAGGAGTAAAGACGAACAGCGTGGTCACGTGGCCAATTAGTTGTCATTCGTCTTGGGCCAAGATGGCTGCAGGCACACGCTCTTCGGTCCGGTTTTGGAGTGAATTTGATCTACCGCGCTTAAAGGTGAGTAAATTATTTCACACTGTTTGCGCTGGCGCGCTGCGCTTCCCTCTCGGTTGCGGAATCGCTTATCTCTGTGTCGGTGCGCAGCTCGACGTTTTGTGCGGATAATTCGGGAGCGATACGCTTCTCCACTGCGTGCATCTCGGGTCTCTATTGATAGGTTATCAACGTTGATCGATGCTCCGCTTTATTTCCGGTCGCTCGCTCGACGCCGGAGCCAGTGTCTACCGCACGTGGCACCGACTGTCGGAGAGATGTTCGCGCCGGTTGTTGCGCGGGTCGCGTCCGGAGCGCATTGTTTTGGTTCCGATCTACCGAGTGCTTCGGCTTCGCCACTACGCACGAGACCTGCGCGGCGATTTGAAAGTCCCACCTTCGTTTCCGGTCCGGTGTGCGTCGCCGTGGTCGGCCGTTCATGCCATGGTCGTGTTTTTTTTTGTTTTTTTTTACCGCGCAGTAAATTTGTCGTCACCACTGTAATATTATGCTGATTTGTGGAAATAGTCCAACAAAGTAGAGGTCGAAAGCAAGTCGAAAGTTTGAAAGAGCATGCTGAAACCCGAGCGTCCGCAACTGCAGCCAATGGGGCGACTGGACATACTAAAATGTGACTGACAGCTGCCACGAGGTGAGGAAAGCTTGCGATATTCGTCATTTTGTTCTCTTATAAGTTAAAGGAAATACATAGTCCTTGCTGATACTTTGCATCGGCTGGTTCTGAATCAATTTTTTTTTTTTGTGTGGTAGTTTGTAACTTGCTTCACGAACGTCTATGTACAGAAATAAAAAAAAAGAAAGAAACCTCATAGTTTAGGTTATAAACCTAGTTTGTGCTGTACGTTCTGTGCAGTTTTTGTTATTCTTTGACCCGCTATGGTGGTCTAGTGGCTCTCGGCGGCTAGGAGGTCTAGGCACTCGGCTGCTGAACCGCAGGTCGCGGGATCGAATCCCCGGCCGTGGCAGTTGAATTTTCGATGGAAGCGAAAATGCTTGAGGCGGGTTTGCTTAGATTTATGTGCAAGTTCAAGAACACCCGGGGGGGTAAAAATTTCCGGAGCCCTCCGCTACGGCATCTCTTAAAATCATATCGTGAATTTTTGGGGCTGTTAAACCACAGCAATTATTATTGTTTCTCTTTCTTGTTGCTTTTGGATCAACTTGTCTTATGGAATGTCTGCAGTGCGTGCAGAAAAATGCTTGTTTTTTTATATTTGAAAACGAAGTAGTAGTTACCATTTAAGAAGTTGGTAGGAAGCGTATTCAGAATACCTAGAGTTTCAGGCAGGGATATATGTATATCTTCCTGAAATATGCTATGCAGAACTTTTAACACTGACCCAGAGCAGGAGCGAGAGAGTAACAGAAAGAGGGTTGGGCGACAAACACGAGGTTAATAAAATAGACACCGTTCTCTAAAACTCTAGTTTTACTTTTCTCTCTCCTCGCTCGTTCTCGACTAGCTTCCGCTGCCTTTTTAACTTGCACTTTACATTAATCTACGAGAAAGGACCGCGTAAGTGGTCACTCCTATACGCTAGACGCTGTAGGGAAACAATAAAAGAGAAAAACAGTCGCATAAAATAAAGGAAAAAAAAATACTAAGCACGTGAGGCGAGTTCCGCTCCCCAAAATGAAAACGTTCGCTCCTCCCATCGACACGTAGCCGTAACTCTAAATCGCCGCAACGCTTCCGCGATTCCGTGAGTTAAAGGGTGGCTGGACGGACGGCGAGAAGGAATCAGTGAAACTGTTGACACGAAAAAAAGAGAGAGAGAGAAGGAAAAATAATATATAACGACGATCGTCATAAGCCCCCCCTCCCTCCGCTCTTCTTCTCACGCGTCGCCGTCGAATACTAAGCGGTGAAGAAAGGGAGACAGAAGCGGAGCCAATTTTCATTCCGCCGCACGTGCCGCCCATGAATACAGCGCAGTGAACGCTACCTCCCCTCGCTCTTCTGTTTTCTTTCCACCTTTCGCGCGCTTTTGCGTTCGTTACACGCGGTGCTCTGTTCCTACGCGTCGCCTCTCGACAACAGGAAAAAAACAAATATCCATCTGCTTCCTGACTGCGCGTCGTTCGGCCAACGAAGCCTCTCTCTCGCTTCGTGTGCTGCTCGGACTACACACGACCACGACGGCTTCTCCGCCTCGCACCGGTACGAACGCTTTCTCTTACTTCTCTCCGGCGCTTTTTTATTATTTGCGAGAATGAGTTTGCAGAAACGGGGAGCCGCTGGATTCGTTCCCGGCGCCCGCTGCTGTATCGATATTATCCGAAACGCGGGTTATGTGTTTGTGCGGCCGGTTGAAGAGATGAAAAACGGGGGGGCATCCCGCTTCGGTGGGGTTCACTGTTTGTCTTTGGCGGAGCTGTTGTGACGGGCGCCCGCGCTCATCATCTCAGCTATGGTTCGGTCGCGCACGTGCTCTGGCATGCAGATATCCGGAGAAGACCGCGTGCCGGGCAGGTGACGGCGCTACTCTGTGGCTGTCGATGCGCCCTTTCGTCGGGGCATCTTCTTCACTCTAGCCGTTTCCGTCTTGACACAATTTGAGTCTTCAACTTTTTTTTTTTCGTGATTGCTCACCAACGTACGGGTTTGATTGCTTGGTCTCCCGTTGTTGGCGAATGTCAAGGATCGGCCCTCTGATCAGGATGCTGCGAGATCATTGCCTCATAAAGAAAGGCAAAAAGCCGTATTCGTGTGATATGCGGCTGCCTCTGGCGTTGTTCGGCGCGTGTCTTTGTATACATCAACATTCGATGCACGTAACGAAGCAAAAAAAAAAAAACGAATGAAACTCAATGCTACTCCATGTGAAAGCTGTACGAACTGCTGAACTTTGATTCGCCTGTACTTTCCTCGTGTTTATCTGCTCTTTCGTGTGGTTTTTTTTTCCTTGTTTTTGTCTGTTTTTTTTCGTATGATATTGTATAAATGTCGTTTTCCGTGCTTTTCTTGTGATTATCTGATAATTGTTTCGCTATTATCTATTTGCTGTTATATAATCTCACTTTTACTACTTGCTGGCCCTAGCACGCTACGTTGGACTCCGGACGCTGGCGTTTCGCCTCCGCTTCCCTGTTCTGTAAATCTTTTTTCTTAGCTCCCGACGCTGGCGTCTCGCTATCTCTGCCAAACCTACGAGACCTTGGGAAACGCTGACATTCACGGACAGGCACTCCAAACGTGGGACCTGCAGAGTCTTATTTGAGTCAAATACACGTGACGTCAACGCAAAACATGGCGTGATGACAGGGTTAGAAAGCTCCGCAGTTGAAAACAGCGCGCGTTTCACGAGAGAAAAGAAAGAAGAGACGTGGCACAAGGTATTAGCTAACAACTGAAGTTTTATTGCTCGGATGCAACACCCATCGAAAACAACAAAAGCGCACAGATACACATTAGAAGCAAACAATTAGCAATGCTCTTGTTCCTGTCATTGTTTCGAAAACAGTAACATGACGAAATCTGGTTGCATCATATTCACAATGGCAATTTAAACTACCAAAATTTTGCGACAACTTTTGGTAAGCAGTGTAGAACATGTGGAACTATTTTTAATAATAATATAGAGAAAGAAACAATTAGGAGCCAAATGTTTCTAAAAGCCATCAGGCGGCCTTTTAATTGACATAAATAACTTATGTCGCGCAATCCTTCATGACCACTTGATCAATTCCATCAAGGACTGTATTAAGGAGCATGAATCTGTAAAATTCCGAAACGCAAGAAGCAGCTTCATTGCTTGCTTCCCAGAGGTGTTGTCCACTCAGCTTAGGTCGGCCAGCACGGCATGGAATTGTGCGCTTTCCGTTAAAAAAATATATTTCTATCGGTTTTTCTTTCGCACCGGTTCTCGGTGACATTGTTTTTTTCTAGCCATGCACGACAGAGCGTAGCGCCTGTCCTTTCAAGACAGCAACGTGTTGCAGGTTTTTAGGTTTGTCGACGATTACCTTGTATCTCCACATTGCGAACATGAAGCCCTCTGGTCGGAAGCTTCTAAGGTACTTTGCAACTTTTGCAGCATTCCGAACCCTTTCAATGTGACCCAAGAGGTGCCAAAAATGGCCTTACGTTTTTGATTCGTCGCCTTCCCATCTCGAGTGCTTTCTCATTAGTCTGATGTGGGGAAATGGAACTCTTATTTGCTTTAAGCTGATAATATTGCGTCATTAAACTTTGTTTTCTGACACTCTTATTTTCAGTTATGTTCATTTCGACACTCCCGCCCATCTCTCTTGGTTAATGAATTACAAAGCATGACAAATTGAACGTGTGTAATGAAGTGCTGAACAATGACTTGCCAAGCATTTTTTTTCCTCGGTGTCAACTAGGGCTTTGCGGGTGACAATTCATACACATCTCAATTGTTTCATTGCTATGTGCGCGAAATTCGGCAGCGACGTAAGTTAAAGCATGTCTCGTTTATGTGGACGATTTTTTTTTGTGTTTACAAAACAGCAATGCAGCATTGTTTTACATATATAATTGTTTATATCTATTGTTTTAAAACGTCAATTCATAGTCTTATTGCACGTAAGATCTATAAAATGCGCAGCAGAATCTTGGCTGTCAGAACATCTTTTGGATGATCTTAACGGGGGCGATCACGGGCCATTATAGTTATTCATCTGTATGTGTTCATCTCCTTTCAGGTACCTAAAAAATA